ATTTTAAGCAGGCCTTTGATTCAATATCCAGGATCACCCTCTGGGAGAAATTAAAATGCACCTGTATTAATAAACGCCTCATCTTCCTCATACAAAAATTGTATGCCAATTCCACCTTGAAAGTGAGTTGTAATCCCCAAGGGAGTTTAACCGGCTCAGTAAGAGTACAAAAAGGGGTACGGCAGGGTTGCACCCTGTCCCTCTCCCTCTTTAACTTCTATATTAATTCCCTGATTGATCTCTTACAGAACCCTGATTTCCATCCTCCTAACCTAGCAAAACGCAAAGTGCCAATTATCTTGTATGCTGATGATGCCGCTATCATTTCACAAACTCCTGTAGGACTGAAGAGAGCAATTAGGGCAACACTTGGCTATTGCAGGCAAAACAAGCTGGTCCTTAACTTTGATAAATCAAAAATGTTAGTTTTTGTTAAAAGACCTAGCCAATACTCCTGGAAAATAGAAGGACATAGTTTGGAACAGTTTAGAACATTTAGATACTTTGGGGTGTTTTTCCACTCGCAAGGGACATGGAAGACACACTTGGATCATATATTGCAAACAGCCAATAGGTCCTCAAATGCAATTAAACACTTCTTTTACACAGGCAAAGGGCAGTTAGTATCTGCTGCCTTGAAACCTTTTGAGACCAAAACATTGGCGCAAATTCTATATGGGGCACAAACAAGAATCCTTGCAAAGAAAGACTTGCTAGAAACCATACAAACCAAATTCCTGCAAGCCATCTTAGCTTCACCCAAAGGAACTCCAAATGCCCATTTAAGAATTGAGACAGGCATACCTCAAATTCAGATAAGAGCCTGGAAGATGATGATCATTCATTGGTTTAAAATGTATTTCTTTCCAGAGGGACTGTCCCCACTAGTGTTGACTGATAACTTCCCCTCCCCCTGGAAACAGGCAATTGAGTACAACCTGGGCTCTTATGGGGTCTCACCGGTATTCTTAATGTCTCTAGGCTTTGACCAAGCAAAGCAAGTAGTAATCAATAGAATGAAGGACATAGAATTCTAAGAAGAACTAAATAGGTTGCTTCTCCACAGTAGGGACAGTATCAAACAGGGAGTGTGGGAATCGGCAAGATATCTAAATGACCTGATCTTCCCAAAACAAAGAATAGCTTTCTTGAGAGCCAGATTTAATATTCTTCCTTCAGCACTCCTCCAGGGCACGTATAAGAGAACATCAATAGCAGAACGGGTTTGTATATGTGGTAAAGGAGAAGTTGAAGATATCTCACATGCTCTATTATATTGTGAGCTATATAGAGTTTGTAGATCTGCATATATTCTCCCCTTATTAGAGAGA